ATATATATATATATATGAGTATTTGAATCATCTAATAAAATAGATACAATCATTTATTGCATGAGATTTCATATTCTCAAGTGGTCCACCTGAGATTTGATAGATTTGTTAGATGAGGATTTAAACTCTTAACCTACGTCACCAATAAATTAATTATTTACATACATAAGAAATTGGAGCTCACACTCAAACGCACATTTAAAAGATGCAATTTTTCCCACTACTGTATATTGAAAAGAGTATGTATTTGAGTGACATCAAATAAACTACAGACAAATGAATTAAATATTTCTTTGTGAATAAGAATTACAGATGAAGCAATCCAATATGTTTGATTTTTCATCCCCCATTTGTAAGAACACTAACAACCTTTTTTTCTACCAAATTTTACAACTTTTTGATAGAAAAAACAATTTTCTTCCGGTCTCATTTGCCAGATGAAAAAAAGAAATGCCTTTACATCAAAATGCGGAGAACGGCAAGGCCAACAGCAGATATGGAAACAACAGTTCCGATGCAGTATTTTATCACCTCATATTTCGCTGCCTCCAACTGGGCCCTCAATGCATGAATTTCCTGTAGAAAAAGACCCATAACCTATCGTTAGTCTTATTAATTACACTGTAATGGAAATGTCATCGACGTAACTTTCTATGTCAATACCCGGTCAAGCTTGGTAGTGATGAGAGTCGTTTCAGCATTCTGCTTCGCTTGTTCATCACGGATGCGCCTACGTTGAAGAGAAGCACAAGTAGATCAATGTGAATTGAAGAAGTGGATCTCTTTTAAGTTCAAGATAAATTGACTGTTATTTCCAAAGACAAGTTCCTGAAAGCTGACTACATAGTAATCAGATTGGTACACACCAAAAAACAAACGAATAGAAAACATATTTCCATCAAATAAAAACAACGTTGAACAAAGTCTCTACCAACTGAAGTATATTCAACGTATGAATTCATTAATCAACATGCAAAACAAAAAACAGAAACAGAAAAGCTACTGGAATTTTGCAACTTACCCCCTTTCAAGGTTTAGATCCAAGCGTTGGCCCGCAGTGACTTTGTCAATCTCATACCTGCAGCAGAACAGTGAAGCTTAGCCTTGTCAGTAGTTGCAAGATTAATTGTTATTTCAAAATTAAAAGGGACACGAGACAAATGCGGGTCAAACCTGAGCTCACTGTGCATTTTTTCGATGTCAGCATGAAGCTTTTCAGTTTCGCGTTGCAATGAAGAGAAATGATGCTCCTGTATCCAGATTGATATGAACTTCAGAAAACTGACTTCAAAGAATATTGCATAAGCATGGGTCATCTATTATTCTCATAATAATATGCTCGGGTATTAATCAAGGACGAGAAGATTGCACCCAGAGTAAACGTCTTCAGTTTGCCTAAACAAGTTGTGTGCATGTAAAGTATCAAGCAATTTGCACAGAATGAGACATGAAAAGGGAGATATTATGGTGTCATAACTAATCAAAACATAGTTAAGCTAGCTTGCAAAAGTCAAAAGACTGTAATATATGGCAAAAGAAAAAATAAAAATAAAAATCTACTAGGAAAGATCAAGTTCTTGAAAAAGTCACGATCAACATTGAAGTGTATGATAATTTAGGAGTTGCAGCAGATTGTAACACACAAAAATGTGTTACTGGGTCATTTGATAATTAATATTTCATTTCGAGTATCAACTGCATACTCAGGAGCAAAAGCTGCAAAGATCTTAAAAGAACTTAAAGCAGCAACATGCAAATCTAAATAATAGGGACCCGTTTGCCTTAAAGGGTCTCATTATATTTATTTTGTGATCTTCCTGTCACCAACATCTCTTATATATAACACAAAGGGGAAGTATCTAAACGCTATCTTCTAACTAGCAATCCTCACACCCTTCTCCAAACTCTAAATTTTGATGACTATAATTTACTTTGTTGCAATTCTCCCTAAGCTAGACATAAGCCACCGACGGAGCAAATTGTTCTTCTTACAGGTGATATGCCTAGGATCATCTTAACTTCAGATTTGACCGTGTTAAATCCTTTTTCCGTCTCCCTCATCTTAGTTACTAAAATCCAAAGGATAATAAAAAGAGTTAACTAATTGCATGAAATTATCAAAATAGACCTAGCTTTATCCCTGAATTCAACTTCAACTAAGGACTGAAAATTTAGATACCCTTTCCTGCTCCCATTAAAATATATTTACCACAAAAAAAACCAGCCTGACACCCAACTTTCAATCACAAAACAAACATAAATATATGGCAGACGAAGTTAAAGATGATCAGCTCAAACTCATCTGTCTATTAGCCAATGCAGAATTCTATCCAATCCATGCATGTTGCTAAAGGTAGCAGTTTTTCTCCAGTAATCGAAAGAGAGAAAATGTCATCCAGATGAAATCCCTAAAACCATATTCACTTGTACGAGGGAAGAAACAACCTTTTTCAAGAACAACCAAAGGATTATTTAGAAAGCAAAATTAGGATAAGAATGCCATACTTGGGAGCTTTGTATTTCCGACTTGAACTTGGAGAGATTCGCGTCTTGAATCAACTCGCTCTACACAGATTGTTACGATCAACGTTAACAAGAACACCACTACTGCATCGACAAACAGACAGGGAGATCCAAATCCAAACCTTCTGCATCTCCGCCTTGGAGACAAAGGATTGGGCCACGCTTTCCAGGCTATGATTCAAAACCTCCGTGATGGAGGACGTGATGGCCTCCGCATGCTTCGAGGGGATGCCTTGCGCCTCCAACCCTCTGACCTACCAGAACCAAGAACACCTTGAGATCATCCAAAATGCAGACACGTCAAATCGACCGGTCTCATCTTACCAACGCCAAGGTGTCGACGAGGAAAGCCCTCTTTCCATTCGTCTTCACGAGCTGCGAAGAAGAAATGGACCGAGCCGAGCAACCGAAAGGGGCGCCACCGCCCGTGGACGTCGACCACCCTGATCTCCTAGACAATCGAAGCGCCGCCCCTGCTCTCCTGCAAGCAATAGCTGCAGTACCGGACATCGGAACCAATTCCCGATTCCAAGGGAAGAACCAAAATCAAGAAAAAAACGAATTTTTTTCTCTCGAAAGGAAACGCGCTTGAATTGTTGGGAAGGAAGGTGGAGTTCGCTAGGGAAGGAGAGATGAGGAAGAAGGGATCGTATGCCTTCCGACAATCCACCCTCGCTTTACCTTCGACTCTAATTTCTATTGATAGATGCAGAGAGTTGTGATGGGTTAATTATGGGAATGGTTCGGATTGCAGAGTTCGCCGCGTAGATTCTTTGGTCAACATCTTTTGGGAAAGAAGGAATGGCGGAGAAGGGGGATCGAACAATGCGACGGTCAAACTTGATCCACGGGAGACGTTGCCGTGCTGGCACTGCTCCGTGAACAATTCACCTCGTGCGCATCGTCTCGTGGTGCCACGTGTCCGGTGTCTTAAGTCGTTTTACGAAACGTGGGTCTATTCGGTTCCACGTCTGAAACCGAATGGAACTGAAATCATATAGAATTGATCTTATTTTTTGATTTTATTTTTCGATGAATTAAAGCTGTTAATTTTGAAACCATTGATTCCGAAACCGTAATTGGATCTAATTCGTAATGAATCAGAACTATCGATTCCGAAACCACAGTAAGGCCTAAGGATAACATGAGAATTGTTCATTACAAAGAGGATTGTCGACTGGTGTGTGGCTGGAAATCATGAACAAGAATTCCTAAACAATTGGATTATGATTGATGTAGATCTTGCAAACTCTATATGATTGATGTAGCATTACTGTAGCAGACAAAAAGCAAGTATTGAATTATGATGACAAATGGATGGAGCCAAACCAAATGTTGTAATGGCAAATGATGCACATTATGGAGGACAAATATATTTGCAAACTGATCAATTAACAATCCAAATCAAATGTTGTAATGGCCCATCCAAGGACACAAAAAGCTGCTTCAGACAAGCTGGATCTTCCACCTACCATACACAATTTGGAGTGAACCCTGAAAGTGGTAGGTTTCCAATTCAATTCTTCAATCCTATAGGGCTCGATCGGTCTTTGATCAACAAGCAAATGTTAAAGGGAATCACAGAAAGGAAATGGTCAAACAGAAGGCAGTAATGGATGGCTTCAGATGATCTTCCAACTCCATCCAAGTTTCTACATGGCATTACAAAATACAGCTTACAAGTATGCATGGTTTCCACCACTACAAACAGATGGAAAAGAAACTGAACAAAATAAAACAAAATCAGCTGTCCTTTATGCTCTTTCTTCATCATGAATGGAAATAGTTACATGATGCTCCCTTCTTGCAGTGCCCCATCTCATGGAACCTGCAGATGCCTGTCTGCCCTCTTGGAGGCAGAGATGATCCTCCACCAGCCTGCGTCCTGTTCCACAAAGGCCTCTGATTTGTATGCCCAGAGTCGTTGCCTTGTAAATTGTCACCCTGACCTGAATTCCTGTCTCCACCATGTGATGGCGGTTGAATACTTGAGCTCTGAGGATTTCCAGCTGACGGAACCCAGGACGGGTTCATATTTCCTTGTCCTGATCCCCAAGCAGAATTCATATTCACGGTTCCCTGCATTGGTGCTTCCAAATTCTGGGTTGCATTTGGGTATGGTGGTGCTGCCCAGCCAGGATTAGGATTTGGTTGTCCTTGTAAAAGCATTGCCCAAACAGGATTTACTGTTAAATTTCCCTGCATATGACCACCCCATCCAGAAGTTTGGTTTGTGTTCCCTGCCGCTGGAGTAACCCAAGCTACATTCATATTTGTGTTTCCCTGTGCTGGTGCTACCCAACCTGGGTTCATCATTGTATTTACCTGATTCTGAGCTCCCAAACCCATGTTCAGACCTGCAATTGCTTGAGCTGGTTGTCCCCATGGCATGTTCATATTACCTTGTGCTACCATTCCCCAGCCAACATTTATGTTTCCTTGTGGCATTGGGGCCCAACTCATATTTCCAGTTCCTTGTACAGGTCCTGAGTTTGGGCTTGGATTTTGTGAAGCCACTGGAAAACTAGTGTTTTGAACATTAGATCCAGTATCAAAACCCAACTGGTTTGGTTGTACAGGCACAGCATTTGCATTTGCAGATGTTTGTGATCTCTGAGCTGAGCTAGACTCCAAAGCATCAGATTGAACAAATAAGTTAGAAGCCGCATCACTAGGATGAGCACTCAGATTAGGCGCTCGAGATGAGACCTTCTCTGACATTAAATCAGATCCAGGATATGAAGTCGTTAAAGCTTGATGTATCTGGTTGTCCAAAAATCCAGTCAGAGGAACTGGATTCCTCTCTGAATCAGCCTTGTAAATATTGGAACTGGCTGCTGGTGTTATATTTCCCACTTCAGTCGCATGGAATTTTTCCTTAGGATCTTCAGATGAAACACTGGTGTCCAATTTAATACTAAGCCTCTCAGATTTTTTTCGAGTTTCATCAGCAGATCTACCACGTGTTCTCAGTGATTCCTTGCCATGATCATGTTGGCTTTGCAAGAGAAAAGACAGTTCGAGTTCAGAATTCTTTTTCTGAAAACTTCCAGCAGCATCTACTTTGTCCGGATGGTGGCTCAAATTTGTGGCTTGCCCCAAGAATACAGTGTCTGGTGCAGATAGCGATGCAGCAAGAGATTGTCCACCACCTGAAGTAACAGTTTGCTCAGGGACACTTTGTGAAGAAAATGAACCCAATTCCCTCAATGAATTTGATATACCTCTACTGGGTTCATTAATTGTGAAGGACGACTGCGGTTCCTCCCTGCCCCCCGTGTTAACCCAGGCTGAAGCAATGGCTTGGACAGAAGCACTAGATGGTAAATGCTTATTTAAAGAACCTTCAGCGATCAAGCTCTTCTTGCTTGGTTGTGGAGTAGGAGGAACATTAGTTGAACCGTTTCTCCTATGATAGGAGTCATTTACTGGTTCAACTTCAGAAGTGCTGCTAGGTAATTGTTGGCTTGTAGAACTCCAATTAGGATGAGGATTCTCATAATATGCGTCTGACCTACTGGCAGTGTTTACTTGACTGCCTATAACCTGATAAGACAGTGCTGGAGGCTGATTGCCATTAAGTGGTGACAGTGGCCGTGGACTATTTTGTTCTTGTGCTTGCCCAGACTTGCCAATGGCTTCCTTTGGTGATACCCTGCCTCTTGAAGAGACTTCCATCTTGGGGGATGCCCAGGAAGCCTGCCGAGTAGCCCATTTCTCATTCTGACTAATGCTCGATTTTTGTGCATTTTGCTTGATATTAGACAATGCAGAAACATCACTTCCTCTCTGAACACCAACCAAGTTAGGTCCGGCACTAAATCCAGTAGGTGAAACAATCACTGACTGGGAAGTGCTGTTGTGAGGAGGTTCCCACTCCGGCAAGTCTTTCTGAAATTTACCAACCAGTGCGTCAGAGAGTAATATGGAGTCTTCTTGCTTCTCAGAAGCTCTCCAAATCCTCAACTTAGGAGGGAAATATCCAGTATTACTCCATTTACGTAACTGAGTCATTGAAAATGGCCCTTGGATCTTCCCAGAAGGATCTTGGTAGTGCCAAATCTTATCAGATTCATTTGCTACTGCTGCAAGATCACCAGGTAAAGGTGCTATTTGATTTTCTTGTTGACCATCAGCTGACTGTTCAGATCTAATCATATGCTGTTTCTCATGATAGAGACTAGCATCTGAAACACTTGCAGTTACATGACTTTTTGAAGCCTCAGAATTATTTGCCTGGCGTACATCATTAGCCTGATTCAAGGAAAACTCAGTTGTATTGACATCTCTGCCAGCAGAGGAATCTGCAATAGAAGCACCATCTACCAGTGCACTTCGGTTCGAGTCCCAGGTATTTGAATTTTTCCGTGAACTACTCCGGTTATCACTTAAAGTAGAACTTCCTTTTCCAGGAGACTTTACCTCCCTTCCATTCCTAAGGAAGGAAGATCCTCTTGACCTGTCATAGTAATCTGCATGTTCAGCAATTTCAATTGTAAATTAGATCAAGCATCAACAAACTAAATAATCTGAGCATAAGGCTAGAAACAAGTGATATGAACTTCCAAGTTGCCTTATACCTTGCTTTCTCAAATCTGACTCTTCTTCTTCCTCGGCAGACTCATAGTCGGGATCCATATGTGGGTCAGTATGTATTTCAGGGACCTCATTTAACCTACGATTACACTCTTCAGGTGTGTTCAATAGCTGCAGCTTCTCTATACACTCTCTAAGCGTTAGACAAAGTTAAGGCTGTAGAAACATTTATTGGCTCAGATCATTAGTGCAAGCAATCAGTTTAGATGATCTGACTATAATCAGCACAACACAGCATCAAATAAGAAAAAAATTGCAAGCATGTCAAGCTTATTCAGAAGCAGACAACACAGATAAAAATATTACACCCAGGACAACTAATGTAACATGAAAATGGCTAAGAGTTCAGATAGCAATAGAAAGTGTTGCATCTTTACCAAGTACTAAATACTCTGCTAAGAATTTTACATATCTTAAGCAATAAGAAAATCAATCAAGCTTAGAGTGACACTTGATATCCAAAATGTTCTTTGAAAGACTTATGACCAAAGGTCCATCCAGCCTCAACACTCTAGAGTTGGTGGGGAGCTATTAAGGTAAAAAAGAATATTGATTTCCGGAAAGAAAAACCCTAGTCGACAATTATAAAGATCTAACTTGTTAGCCGCAATTCAAAATTATGAAATGGGAGCAAAAACCTCCTCCAAAATTCCAAGACATGAGGATTACACTGTAGCAAGGGAAAATTACATGCTAAGCTAAAGGAAGGAGTTTTCATGTTAAAGTTGCTAATACTCCAATGATATACAGAATACAAGTAGAACAGTTAACTACAATGATATGTTTGATTAAACTTTCATGTCCAACCTGCCATGGCATAGCATGTTTTACCCAGGTAACAGAAACCAGAAGTAAACTATTCAATCAACCATCATCTTGCACATAATAACGCTGGTTTTTTTATATTTTTTAAATGTCTTTGTATATTGATTAGAGAAGAACAGGAAGAAGAATCTTAGACATCACTTGCAATATATAAGTTGCACAACCACAGAACAACATGATAACTCTTATGTGCTAGAAACAACAACAATGTGTGATTCATATAAAACTTTGAAAAGCCACATAATAGAATTGTTGCCCATGAAGAAAGTAAAAAATACCATCCATTATAATAAAACCAACTATGCTTCTTCGTTTCACGTAGACAACTTATGATAATCAAGACATTCAACATATTTTGCAGAGACTGGGCAGTTGAAAAAT